TATCCCTACCTTTTGGTGTACCCTAATTTATCATTCAGTATGGGGTTGACACTTTCCCCCAACGTCCACCTGCTTCTACAGCCTCCTTAGATGATCACAACGTCTATCACCAACGTATCTCTGGGCAAAGATAACGCACCAACGCCTCAACTTCACAATAATAAAGTATCGAAAGAAATAAGCAGACTACGCCAATGAGGTGTTGAGAAACTTTTTAATACAAATGCGAGAAAAAAAAAGAAACATTTTGTAAATTTTCTCACCTCTAGACTGTTTAGGCAATTTTTATAAATATATTTGTTATGTTTAGAGTTAGTGAGGAGTTTCTCGGGAGGTTTTTATTATCTTGAGTATCTGAGTATTATAATAAAACGTTTATCATTTAGGTTAAACTGATAGGGTCATTTATCTTCGGTAGAAACTTCTTGTGTAAGTAATTATTTTTAGACTTAAGAACAAGAAGAAACTGGGATTTGAATCTCCAGAATATTCTTGCCGATAGTTGGCTTGTGTTCTACCGCTTGAGCACCGAAGCCACCGCCAGCCTTTAAACGTGAATTTTGAGGCAGGTTTAACGTCTTTTAATTCATAAAAAGTGTTAGTCTAGACTTGAATGGTTATCGTAAATAAAATAAAACCAAGTACGAACAATCCAAACCATAAGACAAAATTCGAAGTCCTAAAAAAACGTTATAGGCAAAATAGTGTATTCAAGCAAAATAGTGTACTCAGCAAATGGACTGCTCCTCGTGTACAAAATACACGACAAACAGTGGTAACAGGTTTCATTCAGCTGTGAACATTTAATTTCAGTGTCATTAGGATTATGAAGTGATCATGACGACGATGATGAATATAACGTTAATCGGAGGGTTTAATGGATCGTTGTCTGATAATACAACATTATCATCGGGAATCATCTTCGTCAACCCCTTCGATGTACCATTTGTTCGAGCTGTTTTTATTGTAGCGTATTCTGTTGTGTTCATCTGCTGCTGTGCTGGTAAGTTCAATTTATCTTTCAGTCTTGCATTACTAGATACAGTCTCATTTCAAACAGGGGACCGCGGTGGCTCAGTGAGTAAGGCGTTGGGTCTCTGGCCTGGAGATCCCGCGTTCGATCCTCGAGATATTCCGTAGCGCAAAGTTTCTCTCATAGCACACTGTATGGCGTATGTCCGTCTTCATTAAACCAGTAGGACGTTAAACCTCATTGCATTCCAATTATTAGACGAGAATTAAAGTCTAATACCTCACACAGGATTTGGATAAAATATTAAAATATTTGATATTACCCAGAAAGATTTATATTCAATCCAGAAAGATTCTTTCGGGCCATGTGTGGGTTTTTTCCTGGTCCTCCGGTTTCCTCCCACAGCTAAAGACCCCTACGCGCAAGCGAATTATGTAGATAAAATTAAACCATATGTTAGTCCCGAAATGACCTAGTTTGTGTCGAGTGGACGTTAAACCCCATTTCTCTCTCTCTTATCTCTTTCTGTAATTGGTACGGATGTATTATACAATAGAGACTTTTGGCAAGCGGATTTTTCCCATCCGTATCCCGTATCCGTATCGTATACGTGATACGTTGCGTCAATGTAGTTTTAGAGTTTTGGCAGATTTTAGAAATTTTTGGTTTCACTAATGTATCATTTCAGAAAGTTTAGCCCGTAGATCAACCAGTATGCAGACAGGCGGGAAAAATATGAAAATTCCGAGAACAACCCATCAAAAATAATGATTAAATTCAAGTCGTTATCACTGTTAAAATCACATCAAATATACACCTTCGTGTTCTAGGATACACATAGATTCATAAAAACGCTATGATGCAACATTTCAGCGTCTAAAAGTAGAAAAAAACGACGGTAAAAAGACGACAGTGTTATACGGAACATTTCCGTATGAAAGCCGTTCCATACGTGCTGCCGTATCCGTGTGCCGTATCACGTATGAGAAATACACAGACATTGATGACGTCACACGCAAAATCCATACGGATACGCGATACGGACCAGGAAATTACGCTTGCCAAAAGTCTCTAATATGTCATTATTCCCGCCGTCTCTTGCATTTAAAAATCAGACACCCATTTGGTAACCTAGCAATTACCGAGTATTTTAACGTTATCATCCAGTAGGCGTCACAAATCAACAGATAATTATTGTCTTTACAGCAGATTTCACCATCTTGTGTGATTTTTCATTCACGATTATATAATTGTTTTGTTGACAACATTTCTTTCATTCACTCCTACCATACTTTAGAGAGAATATTTTTTAAAGAAACTTTTGCTTATTCGCTTAAAGATGGTATGCCCTCTATCATTCAATCCGATTAAAACACAGATCCTATTTCCTTTTGTTTTGTATAGTTCAAAATTTCGTTTTACTTGTCTTTACTACACTAGAATCTAGAAGAGTTGTTATATAACCCGCGCTATGGTTGGTGTGACGGTTTAACCAATGAAACGGTCTATTACGGCGAGTTCTTGGCGTGCTGTTCACGGAACTGTGGGTATTCCACTAGAAACATCAACGCTGATTGGTTAATCAAATGTCTGAAGTCATAGGTTCAAAAACCGCTCGCATGACCTATGGCACGACCTTCCACTACAACCGGTCATATCTTCATGTAGTAGAAGCCACCGAAAGTATAAAATAAAACGAAACGAAATAGAGATCTGTATTTTAATCAGAACGTATATTATTGGGCCAACATTACAATTCTAGATTCTATGGGATTTTGTTTTCATTTTCATGGGATGGCAATGTCGTAAATCGCCACTAATGGTCCCGTGGGAGGTAGTTACATACGATATTCTTGCTTGGTCTGTAATTTCATGAATCTGTTGCCAGTGTATTTTTTAATAAGCAAATAAATAAAAATGTGACCAATGCAAGAATGACAATAATCATTCTCATCTGTCCTAATGCTACTGTGGGAGTTGGTGTCATATGATAGCCTGGTTTAGTTTGTAATGTCATGAGGCTGCTACCCGTAGTCGTGTGGTAGTTAATCCATGATGGCCTTGTTTAGTCGTGAGGCTGCTACCCGTGATCGTGTGGTAGTTAGTCTCATATAATAGCCTGGTTTAGTCTGTAGTGACGTGGGGCTGCTGGCAGTGGTTTTGAAATAGAGCGAGAAATGGGGTTTAACTTCCACTCGACACCAACTAGGTATTTTCGGGACTAACATATTGTTCAATTACACTCTTTCACTAGCTTTAACGTTTTACTGACACAAACTCTTACACTAGCACTAACCTTTTACTGACCTCATCCATTGACTCAAATTAAAACCTCGGGTCGTAATTCGAGAGATTCAGGGAAAACAAATCTATAAAAGGTATGGTTTGGGTAATGGTTTAATTCCGTTCGATATTTCGATCTGGTGAAATGAAAATGCTATTCAGCAACGCCTACAGGCGATATATACCAACTAGCTCCGTCTAAAATTGTTAGGTAAATCTTTTAGTGGGCTGAATCCAAGTCGGGAGATTATCTACCGTGGGTTTTATTTTTAGATCAGGTGTTAAATGATCAATTTAATTATATTGTTGCGGGAATTAAGCACTATGGTTAATATTCTCATAGTCCTAATGTTTCTCATCTAATTTGAAAATAAAATCCTTTAAAAACACGTTAATAAGATTATCAGAAGTTCCGAATGGATTATCGTTAAAGTCTGAATAGTTATAGATTCGTCCTCGTGTCACCAAATAGTCACATTCCATATTTGAAAATAAAATCTTGTCAAAAACTCTAGCCGCTTTAGGGTTAACGATGGACGGACAGGAGAGGCGACTAACGGTATATTGTGTCGTTGATCCCCTGAAAAATTCGAACGGAGATATATATTGATAATACGTCTCGATGATCGTGATTCTTTTATTTCCCGCGTATCTTTTCATTCTGCTGTGCAAACTAGAACTACGGGATATTCCACAACGAAACGAACAACTGCTACGTACCTATTTAAAAACACGTCCTCTATTTACGTCATGTATTAGATATTGGTTTATCTGTATTATATTGACTACAGGAGTTATATAAATCAATTATTACATTGTATCTCTCGATTCATTCGCTTATTGTGAACGAACAACATGTAAATTAGCTCAAAATTTTGTCATTTGAAATATGATTCGTGATGAAATGATATTTCATTCATACGGGGGCCTAATGTTCATTAAAATCCGATGTTCTTCAACATGGCCGTCTGCCATATTGTCTGTCTACCGTTACAATTAGCTACGCTGGAAAACAGTCACGAACCTAGTTGACCGGCATGTCAATGTCCACATCGACGATGTAAATCGAAAACACTAAGTATTATACGTCTAGACTTTTGAGTAGTATTTATTACGCTTCCATTCTCATATTTAAACACTCTAACACAGGATTAGACATATTGTAATTACTGTAAACACGACTTGGACACAGCATTAGACATGAGGTAATTACCGTAAACACGACTTGGACACAGCATTAGACATATTGTAATTACTGTAAACACGACTTGGACACAGCATTAGACATGAGGTAATTACCGTAAACACGACTTGGACACAGCATTAGACATATTGTAATTATCGTAAACACGACCTGGACACAGCTTTAGACATGTTGTAATTATCGAAAACACTATAATATATGACTCGAAACACGAGTATTGATTATACAGGGTTTTTTTATAGTGGCCCAGCGGTTATGGTGCGTGCTCATTAACTAGGAGTGTCACGGTTTAATCCCGGTGTTGGGCGAGAAAGTTTCTTATGATCTTCCCGTCTGGTTATATCTTGTCCGTGTTGCCTGACATGAAAAGCGTCTGGTATACAAAGAAAAACAAGGTCCCATGTAAACATTGGTGTACACTGGCAGCTTAAGTGTGAGGAAAAGTAGGCAAATATTCAAGTTTCCCACAAATCCCGGCCCCCGATTACCTCAGAAATTAGGACCTCAAACCCCACTTTTAAAATATATTTAATATTTCAGGTAACGCGTTGGTATTATTTATAATATTGAAGAATGCTCGGATGAGAACCAGACCATATGTATTTCTAGCTAATCTGGCTGTAGCTGATCTCAGTGTTGGAGTATTCTGTGTTATCCCAAGTTTAACAACTTTTCTATCACCTGTTTGGATTTTAGGAGAGGTATGTCTTTCTACTCTTTCTTGAACACCTGATACCACTCATCGGCTAAGTCATTCTTATAGCTAACAATATAATGTTGCAATTTTGCATGTCATTAATTACAAAATTACGACCACATTTTTTGCCTAGGTTAACATAGCGATTTCAGAATCGGTATTTCAATATTCTTAGCGTGTAGCGTGTTGGGTCTACTTAAACCAAATATACTGGATCATGAATGACAGAATTCATTTGAGAGAATGGTCAAGCTTATTTCCCCGGAAGTACAGAAATGTGGTTCGTTAAATACCATTTCATTTCATTTATTTCAGGCCATGTGTAAAGTGTATTATATTATATTTCAGACCATGTGTAAAGTGTATTATATTATATTTCAGACCATGTGTAAAGTGTATTATATTATATTTCAGACCATGTGTAAAGTGTAATATATTATATTTCAGACCATGTGTAAAGTGTATTATATACTATTCAAAAAAAGTAGGGGATATTTGATTTTGGGGGCATAATACTAAAATATGCAAATGACTACGAAAAAAGTCACTATAGAACCTAACAGAAGAAACATTTCCAGTTACATGTGACGCCCAAACGCACCAATAGCTACCGCATGGAATGCAGGTGATGCTTGGGATCATCATGGGGGTCCAATCCAAGATTTGCACGACTCTGACTTTGAATGTTACAGTCATTGTTGCATTGAATTCCAGGGTGGAAACATCAGTTTAATTGTTTTAGTGACCAGAAAACAAATTTTGATATGCGTCGGCTTACCCAAAATGAAAGGTTACGTGCCCTTGGCATGCTACAGATCGGCACAACACAGGCGGTTGTGGCGCGGACGATGAATGTTTCTCAGTCTGTCATAAGCAGGCTATGGTCCAGATACCGTGATACACAATCTGTACAGGACAGACCACGTTCAGGTCGACCAAGGGCGACAACTCAAGCCCAGGATCGATTTATCCGTACCTTGGCCTTGAGAAATCGTGTCATCACAGCAAATCAGATCAGCGCTCGTCTTCAAACAGACACTGGTGTGAGAGTGAGTGGCCAGACGATTCGGAATCGACTGCATAGGGGTCACCTTCGCGCCCGACGTCCTCGCGTTATCCCTTGTTTGAGAGATCATCACATTCAGGCAAGACGTCGTTGGTGTAGGGATCGTCAACACTGGGATAATCGACGCTGGAGCAATGTGATGTTTTCAGATGAGTCAAGGTTCACTGTTGATTTTTTGGACAGACGTAGGAAGGTGTGGCGTCGTCGAAACGAGCGCTTCCAAGACGTTAACGTCATCAGACATGATCGATTTGGGGATGGTTCTGTTATGGTGTGGGGAGGCATCACTGTTGCTGGAAGAACGGCTTTACATGTTGTTGCAGGGCGTGTTACAGGCCAGTACTACCGGGACAACATCTTGGCAGTCCATGTTGTGCCGTTCGCACGACGTCATGGCCGCCGTTTCATCTTCCAGGATGACAACGCAAGATGTCACAGGGCCAGGATCGTTACAGGTTACCTCCAACAACAGAACATCACCACATTACCTTGGCCAGCACTGAGTCCCGACCTCTCCCCCATCGAGCATGTCTGGGACATGCTTGGACAGAGGTTACGTCAACGTCAACAACGTCCTGCCAATGTCCAAGAACTTGCTGCTGCGTTGCAACAGGAATGGGACAATCTGGACCAAAATGACCTTAGACCTCTCATTAGGAGTATGCCACGTCGGATCAATGCTTGTTTGGCAAACAGAGGAGGATTTACCCGTTACTGACTTGGTTGTGATGCTGTGGTAACTTTGCTGTTTGACCCCAGGTATCATTTTACCCTTATAATGGTCAGTCTGTGCCTTACTTAGTCTAACGATCATTTGGAATAAATCGATGAATGTGAACTTCATTTCATTTTGTCATTTGTTTCTTCGTCAGTTTCATTAGGTGACTTTAATAACACTTAAAAATCAAATATCCCCTACTTTTTTTGAATAGTATATTATATTTCAGACCATGTGTAAAGTGTAATATATTATATTTCAGACCATGTGTAAAGTGTATTATTTTGTACAGAATATGAGTTATATGACGTCAATTCTATTGTTGACTGTGATATCAGTTGAAAGATTTGTAGCCACCATGTTTCCGCTGAGGGCCAACAACCTGTTTACACCGTGTAGGTTAGCTATAGCCCAGGTAATTATACTGTTTACACCGTGTAGATTAGCTATAGCCCAGGTAATATTTTAGTTTCTGTGTTTGTTGGGAGACACGCTGGATCAGTGAATAATGCGGTGACACACCAACCCGGATCTCCCGGTAATGGCCGAGAAGATCATCCGGGATACAAGTGTGGTTTCCTCTTGTCAGTGGTGCACAGGATCTGAAAAAGAACAATATCTAGTCGTTCGGATGGGACGAAAAATCGAAATCCCGCGTGCGTGCACCTAAAAGAGCCCTTGAATTATGAATTCGATGAAATGTAGGCGGGGCGCGGCTCTCCAGGCACAATGTCCCTCATAGCACATTGCATTGCTTATGCTTGTCTTCATTAGCCTGGCTATTGCAGAAAACTAGGACATTAAACTCCATTTCGGTTGATTTCATTTCACCTTGCAGATTATCTATAACCCAGACAGGTATATATACCAGTCGGTATGTTATTATCCACAGACCGGAAGTACTTGAGTCTCCATCGCTTAGTGTCAATAATATCCCAATTGTTTGATAAGGACTAGAAACTCCTCGTCGAGACGTCGCTCATTAATAAGCAGTAATAATAACAATGTACATTTGTAGAGCGCCAAATCCATCCAAAAGCATGCCCAAAGCACAATGAGACAATAATTATATACACAAGTGAACAGAAAGTCTAATTCTCGCAGCATTCTCGAAATAAGTGAGTCTACAGCTGTGATTTGAAAGTAGTCAAAGTTTCACTGTTTCGGATTTTCATAGCTAAATCATTCCACAATTAAGGAGCAACTACACTAAAACTTCTGTCACCAAAATGTTTCAATTTTGAGTGTGGAACGACAAGAGTGTTCTGGTAATAAGATCTCAAGGACCGATTTGGTTGATATAGTGTCAGTAGTTCTGATAAATAACTGGGTGAACTGTGTATAGTAATTATGTTATTTTCTATATTTCAGTGTTCAATATGGATTATAGCGTGTGTTTATAATATTCCACATCTGGTTATATTCAGTGTATTCTATATTCCTTCACCTGATGGAGGAATGGATGAATTCTGTTTTCTACAACCAGATATCATCAACATGAAACTATACTATACCTTCAATGTTATCATGTGGTATGTGGCACCATTGATCATCATGGGTTTCATGTATTCTAAGATATCTTTAGTCTTGTGGTATACCAGTTCTCCTAATAATAGTCTCATATCAGATCGTACCAGTGTTATTACAGACAAACAGTTTAAAACGGATGAGGCACCAGTCGAAGAGCAGGAAAAAAGCAGCTCAACAGATTCTAGATCACCGATAAACAAAGTCACAACGTCTGCATTTGCTTTAAATCGTCGGACACCGTTCAGAATGAATTCAAACCGTGCATTAAAATCACGAAGACGTGTTATTCGACTATTGTTAGCTATCGTTATTTCATTCAGTGTCTGTGTTCTGCCTCATAATGTTCGACTTTTTCTCATTTATTGGGATTTGTATCCGATGCCTTCATTTTTAGTTGGTTTGTTTCCACCAAGTGCGTTCTTAATGTTGTATCTGAATAGCGCCTTAAATCCATTTCTCTATTGTTTAATGTCCGTGAGTTTCAGAAGAAAAATGCGACAATCGTTACAATGTTGCTATAGACTGGAAAATCGCATTATTTGACAGGAAGAAATGGTTGAATTATAATAAGTGATAAAGGAGTGTATATAGATGGTAATAAGTGTTCCAGACAGTATTTATCGCGGGTTTGAATCCCGGCGTGGGCCAAGAGGCGACTCCTATGTGTTAAATAGGAATTTTCTTGTATGGATTATATTTTGAAGCCTTTATCGATTTGATAATTTGTTGACATTATACGGGGCTGTGGGGTTTTCATACGTACATATCCACGAATCTGTCTGTCCGGTGCTTATATTTCTTGGTGATTTCCAGACAATATATTTTAGTATTAAAGACTGTAATATAAGTTTTACGATGATCCGTCTGCTGGATTGATATAAGACTTCCGAACAATGGTTTTATGATGATCCGTCTGCTGAATTGATATGACATTCAGAGAACGGTTTTATCCGGAACTGATCAACGATTCTACTTTTAAATGACATACGCATGATTAATTTAATTGGCCATTCTCAATTTAGAAAGGTAACGCCGTTATGGTGAAGAGATTGTGGACAAGACTAGAGAGAGGGAGAGAGAGAGAGAGAGAAAAAAAAAATGGGGTTTAACGTCCACTTGACACAAACTAGGTCATTCTTTGACTAATTTTACTTCAATAATTCGTTTGCGCGTAGGAGTCTTTAGCAGTGGGAGAAAACCGGGAGACCCGGAGAAAACTCACGAGGTTGGACAGGCGGCCCAACTCCTTGTCACGTACAACCGTGGAGTCGAAATCACGCCAGTTGGCTCAATGACAGGCCTTCTGATACAGCGCGCACGTGCTAACTATTCGGCTATCCAATCCCAAGTGGACAAGACTAGATATAACAGATTTTCGCTCTTTGATGTGAGTAGGTTAAATTAACAGGAGGTTGCCATATATGACAGCTCACATTTCAAACTGATATAACAGGAATCGTAAAAATAACTAGGGTTCATCCGGCCATGATCCCATTGCTTCACATTAAATTTAACAAAAAATGATCAAGAACAGCGGAAAATGCCGAACATCGATCAGGTTCATGTTCTGCCATGCTTCACACTAAAGCTAGCCGTTTCATCACAGACGATGCTAGAAATGACAGGGTTGATAAACATATCTTAAAGGACAATATTGGTGCCAGTCATTATCACTTTTGGTCTTCGAAGGAATTATTATTGAGCAGAAATTCGCCCATGTATCTGTTACCACCCGTCACTTCAGTCAGTTATATAGAGTGATAACTCGTATTTTCCTTTTGCGTTCGTCACTTCCGATTGGTGCAGCATTGATTACGCATCTATCGTAGCAATGATCTCTGTGATAAAATAATATTTGGAACGTGTTTAACCAGTTTTATCACATATGTGATAATGACTGGAACCAATATTGTCCTTTAATATCTATAGGATTAATAATAAATTGTGAACCGATTGAGAGATGGACGGACAACGACAAATCAAATGGGAGATCTTTTGATATGCACCTTGAGTGTCATCTAAATCGGAGAACAATAGTTGGCCTCTTGAAGGTCTAGAACACTGTACAATACATATTGTGTAAGGATCAGGTACGAACCAAGCTCATTAACATATATTGTAAGTTTCATTGAAATGAAATGAAATGAAATGAAATGAAATGAAATGAGGTTTAACGTCCTACTGTTCTGCTCCGAACTTGGCTAATGAAGACGGGCATACGCCATACAGTGTGCTATGAGGGGAATTTTGCCCGGACAGCGGCGCTATGGCCTACTCTTAAATCGACTTCCAACTACCAAGGGATCTTTTACGTGCACGCCAATGTATACACAGGACCTCGGTTTTTCGTACCATCTGAACAACTAGACAGGAGTATATCGAATTCCAACTGCCAAGGGATCTTTTACGTGCCCGCCAATGTGTACACGGGACCTCGGTCCTTCGTACCATCCGACTAGACAGCTGTCTTTGTCAGGCCCTCCGTCCTGCATCACTGACAAGGGCAACCACGCCGGAAAATCAGGATGAACTTTCTCGGCCAATGCAGGGATCGAACACCCGATCTCTAGGCTAGCTAGTCAGCGTCTTACCCACTTAGCCACCGTGACCCCCCCCCCCCCCCCACCGCCCCCGCTTAATTTAAATCGATCCACAAATTTTGTATATATTTCACATTTCACAATTGTGGTCTCTAGATGGCCCACTGCCTTGGTATATATAGTACATGCTTTGCCAGAATTTACGTAGGACGGGGACGGGCCCATCCGAGATGTGTGGGATATAAGCGTCCACTTTATTCTAAACGGAAACACAGATATCCAGGCAGAGGCGGTGACATTATGTCCACATGAAAATGTGGACGTATAAAATCGAATATAGGAAAAAACACAGACTAAAAACCAGCTCATCTTAACTTTAACAATTTTATGTAAAGTATTTCTTTATAATTGTTTTTTTTTTCTATAATTTTGTTAATAATAAAACACTTTTAAACAGTTTTATAAAGTCGGGTTGTTCTCTTATCACGATATCCATCCATGAAGAGAGATTTGAACATATTGACTAGTGGTTTCAGGACATCCTCGATACACTTTATTTCAATAATTCGCTTGCGCGTAGTCGTGTAGGGGTCTTTAGCAGGTGACCCAACTCCTTGTCAAGAATACGTGGGTAATCAATGACAGCCCCCCCCACCCCCACCCCATTAAAAACACACCGATAACTATCTGATATTTCCTACAAGACAACTCATGCCCCAAGACTCAAGTATACCTCTAAAAATCAGGAATAGGGCCTAGTACTGAGAAATGTTACAAAGGAAGGCATTTTAAATATGAGACTAACACATGGTTCAATTTTATTTCAATAATTCGCTTGCGCGTAAACATCTTTAGCAGTGGGAGTTGTCATTTTATTTTATTTATTTCCCACTATAAGGGAGTCTTTAACGTACTGCTAATTCAACGGTATAACCGAGATCTTGTTTTCCTACCATCCGAAGGACTAGACGCTTTTCCATATCAGATCCTACATCCTGTACCACTGACACGAGGAACCCTGCCTGGTTGGAGCCACTGTGATTGGCTAAAATAGACCTTGGCAGTAAAAAGGAAAAAAGGTATCTTTTCATTTGATAAATAAAAAAAAAATCAAGTCATGTATATTGGACACCATATTCCTGAAGCAATAGCCGAGGGGGTTGGGGTAGCCGAATGGTTAGCACGTGCGCGCTGTATCATTAGGTCTGTCATTGTGTCAACGAGTGTGGTTTCGATTCCCCGGTTGAACATGACAAGGAGTTGGGTCGCCTGTCCAACCTCGTGGGTTTTCTCCGGGTCCTCCGGTTCCCTCCCACTGCTAAAGACCCCTACGCGCAAGCGAATTATTGAAATAAAATTGAACCATGTGTCCCGAAATGATCTAGTTTGTGTCGAGTGGACGTTAAACCCCATCTCTCTCTCTCTCTCTCTCTCTCTCTCTCTCTCTAAATAGCAAGGGAAATCCCTCTCTAGGATTAGTTCTAAACCAACAAAACACTGCGAGGCGTATAATTGAACAGAAACTTCCTAAAGATGTGGTTAGATTGTACAGTTGTGTAAACAAAGTCAAACGAGCGAAAGTAAAATCCAATTTCAACAAATGAAATATAGTTAAAATAAAATGGAGTTTCTGCACCAATGAAGAAGGGCATTCATCATAAAGTGTGCTATGAGAGAAATTTTGCTCTAATTCCAACTGTAGGACAACGACCCTGGTTTAATCGCTGAAGGTTTGTAACGTCTGTTTCCATGGTATCTCAGACTAAAAATGGGAGAAGCTGAAACATGCTCCTATATGATTTTACAATCTGTCCTATTGTGACCTAGGGTCATAGATTTGGTTTATTTGGAATTTCTTCACTTTATTTAGAGCACATAATGGCCTCATCTTACCAAGTTGTCCTACTTCATAGTAGATCTTAGAGTATGTATGGATGCCAGCATAGGCATCTCTATTTTGTCATGGTTGTTGCAATTAAGATCGTGATTATTGCTCACCTATCCGCAATCTGCATATCTATTTTACGAAACTTTACTTAATCGGAATCATTAAATCAGATTTCCATAAAATGGGAGGTAACTCTGGAACTGTACCATTAGGATTCAGACCAGCAATACTTCACCGTTTATGTCAATCGTTAAACCATTTACAATTTCACTGATGTTCATCTTTATAGTGACAACAAAGGAGTGGATGGGGGTTGATTATCTTGACAGGTTAAAGGTCATTTTCGTAGGTGTTTTCTTTAAGCAGTGGACACACTAGCCGAATCATTCGTCCGAATCATTCAGCCGAATCAATTGCCGCTGAAATTCGCTTTAGTATGTTCGGTGTCATTGGTCAAAATTTCTATTTGCCCGAATCAAACATGTATTCAGCCGAATTATATTCGCGTATGTCCGCTTTGTCGAAGCATTCGCCCGATTGTAGTATTCTTTAGACAATCACCACTGATATCAAGAAGACACTGGGCTGTTTGAAGACATGGTTGCTGCCATGGTTAATCGTGATGTGAATGATTCAGCAAGTGTGTTCACCGCTTTAGTTTATATCTGTTTACCCCGCGACCCTCCCACCTCAAAATTATGGATATTCACCAAAACCTGACAGAAACATGGATATTCAACAAAACCTGGCAGAAACATGGATATTCACCAAAACCTGACGGAAAGTGCAAAGTCAAACACTAGGTAGGATAGTCAACCAAATTGTAACACAAAAGAGCACATTGGTCAGCAGTGAATATTCGCTAGGCCGCTACACTGATTAGCAGTGAATATTCGCTAGGACGCTACAATCACTGAGAGGGATGACATCGGTGTGACTTAATTAGCTCGCAATAAGTTAAAACTTGTTTCTTTCTGCAAATTAAATTCTATAAAAGAATTTTGAATTATTAAAACAATTAATAAAGGTGTTTAAAATTTATGTCGGTAAACAATATTCCCTATTTAGTGTAAATGGGTATGTAAAATTAGTAAAAGGCACCATTCTGCCCAGACCAGTTAACGCTACGACGTCTTATGTAAACAATACACGGGCTGTCGAGCCAATGATCGACGATGTGTGATGTGACGTCACATATAGAGGGCATACTTGAACTTATAAAGGTCACTTATAAAGAAGACTTTCACAATACCTCTATGAAACAGATTGATATATTGGCAAAAGAACGAAAAAGAAAAAGAGAAAAGAAAGAATTGCTATTACGTCATTATTAGACGTAATACGTTGATTCAATCAGGGGAAATAACTACAATTCATAGTCCTACTGGAATGAACAGGTGTTTGTATTATATAGGAAGGTATGTATCTGGTATATTTCAATATATTGTTCTAATCAACTAGAGTAAATCAATATACAAATTATTGGAGTAATGGTTGTCGACCTATAGCATGACTTATCCTAGTTCACAATGATTAGGGCTAGCTATTTCCGGCTGGCCAGTAAAGCGTTGCCTGGTCTCTGCGAAGGGTTGAATACCGACGTCCTCGCGTAAACATTGAAGTTCTACTTGCACGACACCCTAACAGCTGGAATTTGTTCAAACAACTGATTTAATAAATAGTTTGGTAGTTTGGACTAGTGTTTAAACCACGTAAAATACCAGATGATTTTCCAGACGATGGTTCCTGAAGCCCCGATTACCCCAATCGAATTTTTTACATCCGATACTGGATCTACATTTCCATTTTGTCTAATTTTACACCGAAAACAAGTAGCCGTCAATAAGATTTGTTTAAGAAATGAAATGAAATGGGGTTTAACGTCCTACTGTTCTGCTCCTAACCTGGGCTAATGAAGACGGACATACGCCATACAGTGTGCTATGAGGGAAATTTTGCCCGGGCAGCGACACTATCGGCTACTCTTATATCGAATTCCAACTGCCAAGGGATCTTTTACGTGCATTCCAATGTATACACGGGACCTCGGTTTTTCGTCTCATCCGAAGGACTAGACAGCTGTCCTTGTCAGGCCCTCCGTCCTGCATCACTGACAAGGGGGAACCACGCTGGAAAATCTTGATGAACTTTCTCGGCCAATGCAGGGATCGAACACCCGACCTCCAGGCTAGCGAGCCAGCGTCTTACCCACTTAACCACGTGATTTCTTTAAGCGTATCGAAGGCAATGAAATGAAATGAAATGGTGTATAACGTCCCACAGTTTTGCTCCGCGTATCGAAGGAAGTGGAAATGTTGGTCAGGGCGTTTTTTTAGGCCTACGCTGCTTGCAAACGCGTACGCCAAACGCATTATTCGGATATATTTTAGCGGGATTCCCGGAGTAAGGTAAAAAGGTCGAGTACACTCCTAATTTTATGGTTCAGCGGCCTGGCTTGGCGACTTTCAGTCTCCATTGGACTCAGTTACTGGTCGTTTAGTATATTATTTGTCGTATTATTTTATTTTGCCTGATCTTGGTTATAGATGGTATAGTGGTTCATTTGGAACCCTGAAACAACCGGGAAAGATCATTCATTACACTAGGCAGTAAATAGAGACGACACGATTCACGCGGGTCCTCAGTTTTTCGTCCTATCCAAACGACTAGACAGTTTCCCTTGCCAGACGTTCCGTCCTGCACCACTGACAAGGGAAAACCACATTGGGCAATTGGGAGGAACTTTCTCGACCAACATCGGGAGCGAACGCGAGACCACCTGACCAGCTAGCCATAGCTCCGTACTTACCATAAACAAGAGGTGCTTATTCGACCACGGTTGTCCGACAAAACTCGTCAGGATTTTCCAGCCTGGCCAGTGTTGCAAGACGGAGATTCTAGCAAAGTATAGCATCTAGCCCGTCAAACGGAATGAAAAACCGCGGTTACCATGTATACCATTGGCAGCACGTTAAAGATCCACTGACAGTTGGAAATAGGAGTAGGCACACTGTGGACAAATATTACAGTTTCCGTGAAATTAAAATAGGAGTATATAGAAATGAAATGGGGTTTAACGTCCTACTGTTCTGCTCCGACTGGGCTAATGAAGACAGGCATACGCCATACAGTGTGCTATAAGGGAAATTTTGCCCGGACAGTGGCGCTATGGCCTACTCTTATATTGAATTCCAACTGTCAAGGGATCTTTTACGTGCACGCCAATGTATACACGGGACCTCGTTTTTTCGTCCCATCCGAACGACTAGACAGGAGTATACAGAACGTACGTGCAGTTTCTTTTTGATTAAATACCCCGGTTGTAAAAACAAATATAGTGGAAATCCTCCTTGCGTTACAACTCATATGAGGCGAATATAATTACATGGTCATACGTTTCTCACTGGCCTACACTTATTTCAAATTCCTACTGTCAAGAGGTCTTTTACGTGCACGTCGATTTGTACCTCGGTTTTTCGTCCCATCCAAACGATTATACGTTGTCCCTTGCCAGACCACCAGTCCTGTACCATTGACATGGAGGAGGGGGCGGGGCACGCCGGAAAATCCTGATTAA